TTTTTTTTTATTTTAGCTTCCACTGCAATATTCCTTTTTTGTTTCATTGCCCTTTTTAATAACCTTTTATACTTGAGGTTGCAATTCATTTTCATGCAATTTATATGTGTGCAATACTCCTTTTCATTAACTGGATCCTGTTATTCTATAAAGTATTTTCTTTCCCCTTATGTTTTTCCTAATAGATATTTTAAACCATTTGGATGCAGGTTATCTTTTTATATACTGACTTTTGGGATCTCTTACCTCTGTTTGCTTTACTGTGTATTCATTGTATGAAAAGACCTGTTGAATACAAACATTTACTTAGACTACTACAGATGAGTAAGAAAACAGTCATTAACAATATCTACCATTTTGGTTTCTGCTAATTTACTTTTTTGATGTCCCCCAGTAAAACTATGTCTAATTTTGTACAGCAATTATTAATTTTACTTTACAGTGTTGAATTATAAGAAAAAATTAGGTGAATTGTACTATACTATAGACACTGTACCTTTAGGATGCTTTTTAACAAATGTAACTCATATACTGTACCCTGCAAAAGTGTTCAGACCCTTGCACATTTTTCACATTCCATTGTAACATTTGCAGAGACGTTTGCACTTTGAGGTATCAATTAGTGTTTGTTATATACACAACCTTCAACACATATTCAAAGAAACAAAAAACAAAATCAAAGAAGTCAATAGTTGATATGAAGGAAAAATGGAAAAGACTGCTTAAGTATTCAGACCCTTTGCTGTCTTCAACCTAAATTAAATTAGGGGGAACAAATTACCTTAGCGAGCCACACATTCAGTTTTCTCAATGTGCAATAATTGTGGTTCAAATAATCTCAGAATAAAACCCCTATCTCTGTAAATATCAATGTGCTGTACAAAGGCAGAGTACATGAGAAGGGTATAAAGACATTTCAAAGACCCCTCATATCTCTTTAGGCGTGGTAAGTCAATCATTAAGAAGTGGAAGGCACCCAGACACTTGTCTCTCCAAAGTGAACAGC